CTCACTGGTAGAGGATTGGATGTAGTTTCTGTAGCTCATGCACGGGTTTTATGTCAAGCAAGCACATACAATCTAGTTTCACAAAGATGAAGTGCTGAGAAAAGTGCATTGAGTTCAAATCCCTCCTTGCAAACCAGAGGGAGAGTACAAAGCAGTCGTGTGCCTCACAAGGGCAGTGGTTTAATTTGTGGGAATCCGTACGGCCACCAGCAGAGTTCCTGAGAAAATGTAACTGAGGGCTTAAGGCCTATTTATCCATTAACTTGTCCTCAAAGATTTTCTCCATGCAGCCTTAACTTAAACCAGCAAAGAGCCTTGTTGAAACTGCTGCTTTTTTCTTTCTCTTTTTACAAGAGGCCAACTGTGCTTTTCTTTCATTGTGTGGAGTACACAGCTGACATTATTATCCTCATGCTTAGCAGTGCCTCTGCTGTAACCGATGACGCTCGCTCTCAACAGCACTAGGAAGACAGGAGTGGGTTGAAGCCATTTTTAGATCACCATGCTATTTCCTTTTTTAGTGCTGACTCATTCACTGTACCTTGTGGTATGTTTACCCCAATTGCTTGCTGCTTTGGAGGCTGTTGAATGAGGAAAGAATATTAATCAGTGACACATCACACTGTGCTCCAGAACTACAGTCATGGTGAGTGTGATGCCCTCACTTATCTTTTGGCTCTACTGTAGGAATTATTTTCCTTTAACTAGAATTCAAAGTTATTTCAGTTCTGGAATCCGTAAGTGACTCTTTTGCGCACATCCTTTCCGCACAGGTATCTAGTTCATATTCTTTTTTTTCTGTTAAAAATCTTTGCTCCTTGCTAGTACTCATATCAGAGTGGAATTAATCAAAGTCATTGCACTGTACACATGTGAACCCCAATTAGCCAAAACAGCTGATGAAGACAGAGGAGATCTCACAGCTCATTTATCTTCTTCTTAACATATTTTATATTAAAATTAAAATGACTTGTAAAACAGTAGTAGCTACTATGGCTAAAACTACAAAAAGTGTGCATTATTGCACATGTGTTTTACTTGGGCTGTTTTGCTGCTGAGTGAGGTGGCAAAGTGTTTGTTGCCCAGAAATGCATTGAAATTTTCAATTTGTCTGCATTCAAAGTAGAAATTAAAGGCCTATACACAGTAACTGCAGCAAATCATTCACAAGATATGGTGTCATAAATGCTGTTAGTGTGCAGTTACAAATGGTAGTCCTCTGCTCTTGAGGTGATAATTGGTCAGCTGATTGACATTACAGCCCTCCCAAATGAGCTTCTCACTCTTCCCCTCTCCCTTGTTCCTGTGTGTTCCCATCACCTCCACTGTAGAAGGAGTGAAGCAAATCTGATCTGGGTTTTAAATGATAAAAATAATCACTATTTTATACAGCTTTATTTCAACTAATTTAATTCTCTCAAACCATCCACTTTAGGACTAGATGACCACCCATGCTTGAAAAAGGCATGCTGACTGAATCACCTTTGACTTATAGCACACTCCCAGTCCAAGGAGATGCCTTAGCTGCGAGGACTCTGTGTGGAGAAGGAAATGCAAAACCCTAAAAGAGGAGCCAGAGATTAAGCTTGGAGATTTATCAGGTGAAAGAAATACTTGCTTTCAACTCTAGGACACGACTGAAGCATATAAAGAGGAGACAACTTCAAAATCCCTTGTCTTATCTCCTTTTCCCAGGTATTTGTTAATTTGCTAGTAGCTTCCTTCTTAGAAAGAAAATTCCTATACTCACTCTTCAGAGTTTCAGTTTGGAGGAAAAGAAGCTCAGTAATTATGACAGAAGAAAAGTGGAAGCTCAGAAACATAAGAGAGTAAACAAAGTCTACAGCACAGGTCTAAGACTGCCATGGTTTTTCAGTTTGAGATTCTGCATATCAAAAGTCTCAATAGAAAATTGAAGTACAAATATTTCATGCAGATAATGAAAAAAATAATAGGAAGAAAACCAATAGATAGAAAAGTGAGGTGGCTCCTGATAAACCTCATATAACTAGGTAGTAGAACAAAAATAGAAAAAAGGTAGTAGGAAAAAAAATTTAAAAAGATAATAATATATAAATATAGACATTAATTGTTTGTTATTCAGAGGTACGCTTACATATCTGTGTATTCATTGAAAGACTGTAATTTCACAACTTTATTTTAAAAAGAATTAAAAATATATAGCTAACATCAGTCAGGATATGTATTTAATACCACTTTAAAAACAGAGACCCTGTGAAAGGCCTTGGGGTTTTATGCTAATCTGTTCACTTGTGCACCTCAGGGAAATCTGCTGCTGTACGTCAACTTCATAATCCCTTGAATTCTCATTGCCTTCTACTTTTGAGCAAGGCAGTAAAATCCCCTGGGTAGGGATTCTGACATGTTTCTCTACTTTTCTCAGTTACTGAACCTAATGATTATTTTTATCCAATCATTATTCAGTGATGCTGCTTACACTGCCATAAGAAAAGTTAAATATCCCTCCTCAGTTTTGCAGATAGAGCAATTGAAGTGTTCAGAGGTTAAAAAATTTCCTGGGTTAGAGAGAAAGTTCCTGGGAGAGGTAATAATGGGACATATTTCTGATCTTAATGATTACATCTTGACAGGCCAACATCCCTCCAAGCAGAAGTTTCAAAACCAAGCAATTAGTTATTTCATTGGCAGAATAGAATCCCCTCAATTTGTTTGCTGACCTTGGGCAGTGAATAAACCAGCCACTCAGTCTGAGGGATATTATACTCTGAACGGCATATTCTGATATGATGAAACCTATGTTTTATCTTAATATTTTATAATGAGAATATTTCTGTTATAGAATTCCTTGTATAGTGCTTTGGACACAAGTAGAGATTCCTTGTGGTAGTAAGTGGGCACTTGAGTTGTAACACATTTCCATTATCGGATTCCTGTGAATAGGGAATGGGTACTGTCCCATTTTTAAAGGTCTTAAAAACAAAGATCACAAAGTCTCTGTGCAGCAAAAATTTGAATTTACATCTCCTATATTTTAAGCTGGATAAGCCTTCCTAATTACTGAAAGAAAATTCCTTTCTGTAGCAATCCTAATTCATAAAAAGCATAAAAAATGGCTGTAAAGAAGTGCGCTTTTCCAACCCCTAGGACTGTCACTGGGCTGGATCTAAAGCTTGGTGATAACCAAGTTGGTTTGTGAGCTCAGTCTTCCACATTCACTTGAGGATGCTGATAAAAGTTGGGAGTCAGGAGAAGGTCAATGAAAATTAAAAATTGATAGCTTCTGCAAAGACACATGAGATGTAGGAGTGGAGGGATGGGGAAGAAGAAATGATGAAACATGATTCAGAAGGAAAGCACTAAACCCAAAGGAGTATAGAGGAATCAGAGTTTTCAGGGTAGAAGTATGGAATGGGAAGGAAAAATCTAATCTTATCTAAACTTCTCTGTAATGTCACAGCTGTATGCATGGTTTCAGAACACAGACAGAATGGAAGTCTCTGCACATGACGCACTTCCAGCTCTGGCTCATTGAGTTAGATCAAAAACTTCCAGGGAAGTGCAGTCTATTTTACATACATGAGAATGTACTTGGATATGATAAAATACCACAGCTGTCAGTCTAGATTGGAATCAATTTGCATGGTAATGCTCTGAGGGCTGCAATTTATTTTCTTTTCTCTGCAATTAGAAACTTTCCCTGTTTCAGTAGGGAGGATTGATCCTGGATGTCTGCATATGCATTTGAAAAGATCTGGCTCTTCCAGTTTGACTCATCCCTATTGGATACCTATAGCTCTGAGAGGAGAAAGCTCTGCACAGAAGTACAGTCATTTCTGCAGGGCCCAGAGAAACTGAAAATCTCATAATACATACATCTGGACCAGAGATTTCCCCATGTTAATGTGAGAATTAGTGAAGTTCTGGAGAAAGAGGAGTTCCTTAAAAAGAAATAGAAGAGAACATACTCAGAACAATGTGGACTGTACGGGCTATTCTTAGTATAAATTATTAAAGGAATATTTGTATACTACATTTTTTTCTGGTGACAAAGCTAACTGAAGAAGTTATCCTCTGAGGTACTCTCTCCTTTCTGCTCTGCACCCACTAGAGTTCTCTGTATAATCTGATGTGCTTATGTCACTTGTGATGGGACTGTGCTGGATGTAGGTCAGGTAAATTATCCAAATGTCTAAAAGTAGTATTTTGGAAAGTATTCTTTAAACCCATGTCATTCTATGATCCAGATAATTTTGCAGCATGGTAAATAGTTGCATTAGCGTGACTTTGTGGCAAAGGGCATCAAGCAGGAGTTAATAAAATTTAAATGTAGGAAAAAGTGGGAGCTTCTTTGTTGCTGCAAGAGAGCACATGTGCAGAGCACCATCAAAACCAGTCTGACGCCCAGATCTGAAATATCTCTCTCCCTGAGGTACCCATGTATCTTTTAACACAGATGTTGTTATAGTATGGTTTCAAAAGAGACTCAGTTCAATATGAACCTGGGTGATCCAATCATTAAAAAGAAATATGTGAGTCATCACCACCACAACAAAGCAATTTGGTACACTAGTAAATCCATTCATCTGTTACTTACAAAAACATGGAGAAAAGGAATAAAAGAACACAAGAATAGGATTCCCTACAGCCTGTTTTTAAAATCACCCATTCATGGATGTATTTGAAACACTCTTTCTAGCTCCCAGACTGCTGAGAGTACTGCTCCCTTTTTAGTGTGATATATATATTTCATCAAGGTGTTCAGTATGAATTCCAAAGATGAAAACACATCTACTGACCTGAAACAAATTTATATCACTCTTGTTTTATAGTTTTTAATCTGTGATCTATAATCAAAGACAAAAGCCAGAGATTTCTCACTTCAATGAAATATCTGATATCTGCATTAGGAGAGCCGTACAGAAATTCTTTGAGAGATACCTTTGTATATTTTTTGTGATGACTATGGCATATACTGTGATGCTCTTTTCATTAAAATCTCAAGAAAATCTTCCTCTTACCTGAAGGTAATGGCACGGCCTCAAAGAAGGTTTGATTTCCTGATGAACCAGGGGCTTATCTAAGTTCAGTGATGATTTGCGATAAGCTTCTTTAGCCTGACTTACTGTAAGTGTGGACCAAGAACTCCTTTTCATGTATTTACTGTCAGGGGTCATTGGTAGCCCTTCACAAGCTGAACACTTCACATCATTGTTACTTTTGGAAGTCTTCAATGAGAGATCCCCAAAATGCCCCTGGAGTGCCTCAGGGTAGCAATGGGATATATGATCTGCATGGTGCCTATTTACCACACTAGGGGTTCGGTAAGTGCTATCGCTGTCCAAATTATCATCGGAGCTCCACCAGCTACTCATTCCAGATTTATGCTTGCCTTCTGGTTTTCGCTCCTTACTTTTACTCCTTTTACTATGCTTGGAATGGTGCCCATGATGATGATCGTCCCCTCGACTGTCTCCCTTTGTTCCATTAACATTTCCCTTGGAGGATCCTTCCAGAGAATGAGATTTAGTAAAAAGTTTCTGGACGGAATGAACGAGATGGCGAATCCTGCCCGGGCTCTCGCTGCGCTGCTCCGCAGCGGTTGAGGTCCGCTGGTACTGTAAAGTATGAAACCCATCCCGGTGAAGGGGAAGCTGCTTCTCAAACTGGTCCAAAAGATTTGCAGGAATACGGTTAATCTTAGGGTTACCGTGAGACATGGCGCAGTCGTCTCTGGAGTCGTAATGCGAGCTGTAGTGCATTCTGGGGAAAGTGCTACTGGACATGTGATCGCCCATTACCATGGGCATCATCATGCACTCAGAATGAATGGAGCTGCGGGGGGAGCAACGGTGGTGGTCCAGCGGGCAGCTCTCCGTGGGGCTGAGGAGATACGACGGCCTTGGCTCCTGCCCATGGTGGATAAGGTCGTGGGTATGGTCACAATCTTCAGGGGATGCTAAGCCACAAGTATGAGCTGAACATAACTGTGGTTGATTGCGACTACCAGATAATCCTTTCATATTCCTCGGAGCAGGAGAGTATCTTTCTTCATTGAAGTGCTGAGAAGGCGACCATGAGTACTGCTGGTCTGTCATGAGAACACATAAAACCTGTGTTATGTGTCTGATTAAAAGATCAACTTGAAAATTCCAAGTAATTGAAAAACTAAACATTTTTTCTCTATGACTTTGGTGGAAAGTCTCACCATTCATGAAATTGCTTCCAGCATTTAAAAACTGATTAAAATTGTTCACTATGAGTAAATTATGGGGAGAATACAGCCTCCTTTCTCTTTGCAAAATCATGTGCTACCAATTCTAGATGTTATGAAGCTATTAATTGTGTAAATTTACTCAAATTTAATGGATACATTCAAGTATTCAGTTTATTGTTTAATATTTATAGCTCATATGTCAAGCTTTGTGACTAATCATTTAAGTTACATGGGTCTAGTTTCTATTTTGATGTTTCACAGTTGGATATATTAAATGTATCCTTTTTTACATGGAGTAATTTTTGTACCACAAATGGAACTTCACTTTCTTCAACGAATCTCAGCTTCATGATCCTAAGTTCACTCTTCATAAGTATAAATAATAAACGGCAAGAAGAAAAAAATATGAATGTACTGAAATGAAGCTAAATTTTTATATTGCTAAACAGTTTATCAATACAAAGTTTTTATGACCACACTACAAAATATTTACTTAATCACTCTAAGTTATTCCTGAAAAAAACCCAAATATATTTAGGTACAAGCTATGGGGTTTTATATACTTGATTACTTGTTCCTATGAATCATGTGCTCCATGTTGTGGTTATTATGCAAGCATGATTGCTAAATAAGAGTAGCTTGAAAGCAAAGATTTTGATACTTAAGCCTTTGATTTTTTTTCTCTCATGCAACTTCTTGCAGCTGTCACATGTTACTAACAGAAAAATAAAAACAACCCCAGAAATCCTTCAATTTGATTTTCCCATTCACTTTCCCTCTTCAATTTCAGCTTATTTAAGAAACATTTCAATAGCAGACAAAGAGATAAGATGCAAGATAATCCTTTAGAGGATAAGACAGATGTGTAAGTGTTTATACAACCCACTTAGCACAGCCTTTCTGCAAATTTGCCCTAAGAATCTAAATAATCTAGCACAGGTGGTTGATACAAGGAAGTTGCAGAATGGAAGCTCAACCAGAATGGAAGCTAGAGAATATTTATTAACTGGACACTTGAAACCAGGCTGTAGAGATAGCACTGTAATTGACTGCACATGGAATGGTTTCTAACCATTTGACAGAGCTCTCCTAAATCATATTTCCACAGCTGGTGAGAACTCAACGCCTGGATATCGTCATGAAACACATCAATACTCATATCTCTCTCCTAATTTATTTGACTAATATGTGTTATATCATGATACCTTAACCTAAATGATGTGTATTTCCTATTGTGGGAGATGTTTCTGATAATTTTATTACACCCTAATTTCAGCAGCGTTGCACACAAAGTTTTAAAATGAATGCAGCATTAAACTAATAAACAGTGAAATATTCTTCAGCCTAGGTATAATGGTGCCACACTGAAGTCAAAGATGGATTAATGGTACAAATGCCATCTCCATCCTTTTTCATGGCATCAAACTGATGGGTCTGTGCATGTATCCTTTTCTGCTTCTATTTTGTTTTCCTGTCTGTTTCTTTTACTTAATTCTTGGCTATTATTGCATTAAAATAAAATCTTATTACTGCTGATTGCCCATTCTGTTGTCCTATTTAGGCTATAATACCTTGCAAAAATGTAGTTACAGGAAGGAAATATAACTATTTCTCTGAAATGACGTAATTGTGATTATATGCAGACATGGCAGTAAATTATAACAGTACTTTGGAATTCAGCCACATAAAGTAGTCCTGTAATTAGTGGTACTTACCCAGGATATTACCAAACATTATCAGGGGAATAATAATGGACCATGTGCTGAATTTATTTAGTCTATACTTCCCATAAAGGGTTCCCAAAGCACCTGACAGAGATTACTACCGTAGTTCTTACAAACCCACGAGATTTGATAGACTGAAGAAGTTTTTTTTACAATGAGGGTGGCAAAACACTGGAAGAGGTGGATCTCATTGAAGATGTCCCTGCCTATTACAGGGAGGTTGTATTAGATGACCTTTAAAAGTGCCTTCCAACCCAAGGAACTGTTCTTTTACAGAAATAGGAAGTTGCAATATAGGAAATATCTTCCAAAGTGCCTATGGATTTTCTGATATTAATGTTCAGAGAGGCGTGAGCCCGAGGGAGGTGGAAGGAAGCTCTTCTGTCACTCTAACAACACGATGAGAGTCAACACCAAGCCTTTTCATGACAATCTTGCACATCTATGAATGAATATAACTCGTACTATGCCTCACCAGTGTATTTACAAAAAAAAAAAAAATCTGGAATGAAAGAAAGAGAATAAGAAACTAATTTCAAAGGCGTTCTTGAGCATGGAATTGCTAGTCCCTGGTGATTTGTTTAGGCTTCATGCAACATCAAACATAACCCAGAGGGCTTCAAATATTTTTGTCCTGTTACATCCCTAGGAATTGAGAAGTGATGATTTGACTGCACTGCAATGGATAATCTAACAACAGCTTTTCTGTCCCTCGTGGCTCCCTGTGATTCTAGCTCATTTTGCAACTATAGAAAAATACCCTTTTCTGTATGTTGCTTTCACATAGCATTTTATGTGCTACATGGAATGTCTGAATTATTTTTGTTTGAAACACAGTAGCTAGAAACTGCTATAGGCATTTATTAAGCGTAATCAAAATAATTAAAACATGAATTAAGAAGTAGATGTTTTCCAGAAGTAATTGCCCCCTCTTAACTCTGTCGTAGACAGTAACTAAACTAGACAAACTCCCAAATTACTTATATGTGCATCATTTAAATTTATCACTCTAATTAGGTTTGTCAATCTAGGATATCAAACTTGTTTTTCATCCCAGACACAACTAGTTTTTCATACAAATATTTTGAAAAATCTTCAGAATTTTGAAATACAATATATAAATTTATCAAGTAATTTGTGCTTTGTATTATTCAGTCAACTTTCTTCAGGAGACTGAAGTGCTTGAAGAAACAGTTGAGCTGTGGCTGAATGAATTACTGTGTGGTACCAGAACAGTGTAATTGCCCATGTGCTAACTCTTGGCCTGTGAAGAAAAATGTCCTGGCTTAAAATTCAATTAAGCTAACAAGCTTCTCTAGAATTTGCAAGGGGTTAAAAGTATGTCTATGGTCAATGACCACAGCATAGCTGATTCATAAAAATTCCTAAAGCTACAGCAATATTTTTCTCAATACTTTCAAAAGAAATTTAATATTTTGGTATAATTAAATAGTTTCATATTTGGTAGATCAGATAATGACAAATTGGACTGAAGTTTTAGTCTATAACTTGAAGTTTGTTTTTTTTTTTACAGCAGCTCTTATGTTTGCCCTGGGCAATCACTCTATAAACATAAAATGCCACCATCAGAACTAAAGAGCTAAAAGGAGGCAGAAGAAGAAATAAACATAACCCAAAGCAGACAAAGAGATAAAGAATAGCAACAGAGAAAAATATATTATATGAGAGCATAGGAATGGCTTTTTTTGGATTTCATCAGAGCAAAATAGAATCTTCCAACTAACTTCAATGGATAGTCAGATAATATTTAAAGACTGGGGCTGGGGATGAACCTAGAACAAGACAAGGGCTGTTATGTCAGAGAATCCAGTAATTCCAAAACCCTGAAAATCCCTTAAAGCTCTTCTTTTTCAGAGACTACTGTACAGATATGTCAACATTTAACCTCAGCAGATAGAAGTATTTCTGTATCCCTTCCTATCTCTTTCAAGTCTTTCCCTGTTATGCCATGCTGTGTCCTGCTTTTCTTTCCTTCTTGTTTTCAGTTCTGAACTTTCTGAGAGTTGCTGTCTTGCTCCAAGCAGAGGTTGGTTTGCCTTTGTTTGGGGTCTGGCCACTTTTTTTAGATCATCCAAGATTTTTCCTTGCACTAGTCAGTATCAAGGAAAGAAAGATAGGTTCAAGGACCAAGAATAATATTTGAAATGATGAATTAGAATTGCAATTAAAGTTCTAGGTTAGAAGGCTAAAACCCTCTAAGTAGAAAACATAAGAGCTGTGCATTTCTAGAGTTCCTGGAACACTGCTCTTGGCTAACGAGCATCAACAGAAAAACACAGAAACTTCTCTGACAATCAAAAGAAGTGCTTGACTCCACAAATCTTTTTGTGTGCTGCATATTAGAAACTAGCTTTCAGGGTGTGATAATACTCTCTGGGACTACTAAATGATGCCTGATATTTTTTTCTTACTTATCATTCTGTTGGGAAATTAATTTTAACAGATTTAACTGTATAAGTCTGTCAGTAAACTGCTTTCCCATCTGAAATATCTGTACTGTTTTCATTGGAGAAGGAACTGTTCTTCTGCTAAGTGTAACCAGGAAAATGCACTGCTGAAAAGAGATACCTAATCTACCTTTCAAAAAGAGGTAGTAGAAAAAACCAGATTGCTGCATCTTGCTGTTTCACACAGTTGAATCAGGGTTGAAATGCATTATGAAAAATATATCCTCACAACATAACCTATAACTAATAAAAAATGAAATATTGGAAAAATGGACATATTAACTAACTAAGTAGACATTAAACATGAAAATGCATCATTAAATGTTTTAGCTGGAAAAATGTCTGTCCAAGGTCTGCATTAAGTAGCATTATATGAGTACTCTTTCCTCATTAACTTGTTACCGTATTTTTCTGTGTTCTATACTAGCCTAGAAAATGAATATTTACAGGGATTGAGAAGAGTGACTAATCGACCAAATGCAAAGAAGTCCTGGAAATGCAAATGCCTTAAGCTTCTGCTATGGTCTCATGAGATTTCCAATCTATTTATGTAGCACAACATCTGGTATAAAATTTACATAAAATTGCAAAGATTGAGTGACCATCTTCCAGATTTAGAAGATTACTTGTATTTTTGGTGGTGTGTGTGCTCTTCATGCAGTGTATTGACCTTTCTGAGAGT